GCAGGCAAAAGGAAATTTGAAGGCCGAACATTGTTCATTATTTCCATAGCATATTTTGTCCCTATATGTGTGTGATGGTTACTAGGCATAAACTTATACATAACATATGTAATATAAAATATAATATATGTATATACTTTGGTTATCTCCCCATAAGCTGTTCCATCTACAATATAGCAGAAGCAATGTTCCAGCCTTAGTTCTTGCTCTGGAATGGATGGGCACCAATAGCATATGCGACAATGTTTGAGAGGCCCTTAGGCAGACACACTAATGTCAAATATTAAAGCATTATGTCTGTTGGTCTAATTACCTTAAACAGTTCACTTTGTACAGGGGTAGGTATACCTCCTTCCTAAGTGGCTTTTAAGAAACCCATACTCATATATACAGAACTACTTAAGCCAGTGTTGATCCTGGTACATCCTAAACCATTTGTCAGTTCAATCTTAATGTTCAATGTTGATACCCAATTAGCCATGTAAAATAGTGATTCTAAATATTCGTTTAATTTAGTCACTGAAAATTTACTTTAATGAGAAGTTTTAAATTTTTATAGTGCTGGGCATCTCCTCACAGCCTCATATATGAATGGTGAGTATTCTGATGTGGAGTCATGCTCCTGTGTTGTTGAAGTTTCACAGTGATATTAGGTTATAACAGAGTATACTCTGTTTGTTATATGCACATTGGAGGTAGGGAATGACGCTATAGAGAGCAAAATAAGGTATCCAGATGGACTCAGCAAGCTGTATCTTACTTTTGGACATTGGCTGTATTCTCAAGATGGTTAAAGGTCAGAAGGAAGGAAAGTGGAAATGAATGATATAGAGAAAGGGAGGGAGTAGAGCAGTGTACATGCCTTCATCCCTTTTGGCTTCATGATTAAGAATGGGATACACCTGTATTGGCCCCTACAACCTTGACTTTCCTGTCACGACATACCGTTCCCTTGAATCCCGAGCCGAAATGAATCCTTTATCCCTTCAGTTTCATTGGTCTGTATATTTTAATCCGACTTTCAGGAGAAGGAAGACAACTTTTACCCTACAAATGTCCACAGAACCTAATTATCAGCAAGCTAAATACCTTTTTGGGTTCCTAGTATTGATTTTGCCATATGCCTATCTGTGGACTCCAAAAGATGCAGCTTCAGTCAGGAAATCATATCACTCCCTAAGAATATCCTAGGGAGAAAGCCTTTGTGACTTCTTTCTTTTGTTTGCATTTTTGTAGGCGTGCTTTACTGACCAACTTGAAAATCTGTAGAGAAGCTTAAGGAAACCATAATAATTACCCGATAATTCTGTTTTTTATTTTTGGTGATAGCAAAACAATTTTAAAAATCTGACTTATAAAGAAGGACTCTGAATAGCAGATGATTAATATTTCACAAAACAAAGAATAAACTGAGAAGCAAAGGAATTCATTATCCTTACTAAGATGAATAATGTGTGAATATGGGAAAGGTCATTGTATTTGATACTTGTATTATGCATAGAGAAAGGAGGCTTTTTTGAAGTGTTTATTAAAGTGATTTGCCATGAGACTGAGCTATGAAATCACTGCATATAATTAAAATTCAAAGTCTCTGAGCCCCATAGTAAAACATTGAGCTAAAACAAGATAAAACACACCTTGTTTTTGTGTGAACATGTTCATGTTCAGAGAAGAAAAAGAGGAAATTTACTGTCTATACATATAAGGAATTTTACCATGTAATTGTGGTAAGACGATGGATATCTCATTATGGTGTGTGTGTATGCATATGTGATGTATATATATGCATATTGTATATATGATAAATATTAAATGTTTTAAGATGACATCTTGATGTACAGTTCAGGTTGGACTTGATCTCATGACTTTTTTGCCTCCCAAGTGTTGAGATGACTAAATTGTGCCACTGCACTGGGTTTTTTGGATTCCATCTATCTAACCAAAGCATGTGTCATAGACTTTTATCATGAGAGTGTTAATGGAGAAGCAAAGCTTATAGAATGAAGCATCAAAGTGGTCTGTGAGCTTTGTGGGAGCCATACTAACCACCTCAACTCTGTTAACTAGTTGGTCCATGTTGCTTCCAAGTAACTTACATCACACTACCCACAAATGTCACTTAAGTGCTCAGCCTCCTGGAAGAGCCCAGTTCATGCTGACAGCATGGACCAGGAAGTCATTGTTTCAAAGCCACATGTTTGTTTGTTTGTTTTTTTCTGCTACTGGTAAATCAGGAAGACCTCTCTTAAAGGAGCCACGGCACTCCTAATTTCCACAAGCAAACAGAACCCATCTGCAAAAAAAATGGTTTTTCAGGTTTTATGGATGTAGTCACCCATGCTGGAACCAATTTGTAGGGCCACCAATTTGTTGGGGGAGGCAGCTTGTTTGTTCCCAGCTGCCCAGACCTGAAATAATCTCTCAGAAACCATATTATTTGCAATGCTCTTTGGACATTAGCTTAAGTGTGTTTCTGGCTAACTCCTATATCTTAAATTAGCCCACTTCTATTAATTTGTGTATCGCCATATTGGCTGTGGCTTACTGGCAAGGTTCTGTTGGCCTCTGGTAGAGGCATCTGTCTCCTGGGGGCAACTACATGCTTCTCTATGACTCTGCCTACTTTCTCTATATGCCTCTTTCAGCCTGGCGTTAGTCTGTTAAGGCATTGGTCAAAAGCATCTTCTTTATTAACCAGTGGCAATAAACCATACTCACAACATACATCACCTCCCATATTAATACCCTATCCAAATGGAGAAACACATGTCTGTATTTTCCCCAGTTTCAGCCCTTAATCTGACATTTTGCCTTTGCTATTGATTATTTTATTTGGTTGAGCTAAAAGATTACAACATTATTTAGGAAACTTAAGATTTAGTGTCCTGCTTGTATATTTGCAACAAGCAATAAATATTAATTATCATACTGAAGATAACGGTAGGTAAAATAAAATACATTGGCTTTCTGATATGAGTTAGAATATTTTCTATATGAAGTAATAAAGAGATTTTGCTCTATTCTTTTTTCTCTATAGCTACCATATTTTAGTTTTACAAATTCATGATCAAAGGGATCTTACAGTCATTTCTTATTCACATCTTTCTGTGTGAATTGCTTAGATTTTTAAACTGAAAACAAGGTTGAATAGTCTTAATCACTAAAATAGTTTTTGTATGTTTTAATAAATCTAAAAATGTGGTTCAGGCATAATTTGATTACATGGTTAAATGTCTAAAGAAAATGTCAAATGGGGTTACCATCTGATAACCCCGGGGGTGCTTGGTGCTCTTTCCATAATAGCCAAAATAGTATCTGAGGTAGTGCAGGCATGTGTAGTATGAATGAGATGAGGCTTATTGATTGTGTATGTAAAAATCATAAGCTGTTCAATATTATATGTAAACTATCCACAGGAATGTGAGCATTCATTATGTTAGAACCGTCATTTTATACATTCTAACATGGCCAACCTTGTTCTTGAGATGCTTTAGTCAAAAGAATTTCTTCTATTTGTCTTCTGTATGCCTTGTCAATGCATCTCTCAAGATCCTTTGTTCTTTTATTTTTCCCTTTCTAGTCCTCTTAAGCTTAGTGGTTGCTGCTTTCAAATAAAATATGCTCATTTATCAACTCTCCATGTCTGTCTCACGGATTTCCTGATTGTGGAAAATTCGATAGCATTCAATCAAAAGCATTATTTGTTCAGTTTGTACACTCAACTTGCACAACATTTGTGAGATTCCCTTCCCCTTTTCCTAAGTCTCCCTGCTGATAGTTGCACATTATCTTTCTTTATTTGCCCTGTTTTATTAGTCTTGCACCTCCTTCACTCTCAGTTCGTCCCAATGCACCCCTCGTTTTTACTGTTAAAGCAATCGTTTTGAAACACCACTTCTCCACCTCTGTTTTCCCACGGCTTGGGAGTTTTCATGGCTTCCTGTACTTTATAGAACGGAGTACCAACTCCAAATTATAGCAAGCTGTTTTCATGCTGCTTTCCCAGATGTACCTCATACACAGGCTTGGTGGGATTTCCCAAAATAGAACCCGAAATCCTAAACTCTGTCCCTTTGTACACATTCTTCCCTTGATGCATTTGCCCCTCCTCCTTCTCCCCTTTATCGCCTAGAAAATGCTCTCCACAATTGTGACTTCTCTGGAGTTGTACTGTGCCTGTTTGAGGCCCACACTGGAGAGTGATTTTAGAGAATCCTTTATATTCCAGGGTTGCATACTTTAAGGTTCTATAATAGTAACTGTTCTCATCTTTGCCTTCACCACTAGATGAGCTTATGTTTCTATTTTCTTTTCCTTCTAAGCAAACACTGTGCAGTATTACTGATAGATTAAATTAATGGTGGTTCCAGTTAGCTTTCCCTTCTTACCTAGATCATAAGAGAAGGAGGAGACAGCTGGGAAGGAAGGTCTGATTACTGACAACAACTTGTCACTTTCCTGTCCTGGCAGAAATTTCTCACCCTCTTTGGTTTTGTGCTTCAAAGAGCTTCCTTTTGACCATTTGATCTGTGACAAGTCAAGGCTTGTCCTCTGCTTTTTCTTCTATTTCTTCTTCTTCTTCTTTTTTTCTTAAATGATTTTAGAGCATAATTATGGTCACTACAGTCTGATGAATTAAAAGTATATCCTTGTGAATATTTCAAATTAGAAAATTGTTTCTTTGTCTGTAGAATTATTAAAATTTAGCAGTCTGACAAGTTTTAATTCTTAGTTTTTTTCCCCTTTCCCCTGTAATTCTTAGTTTTAAGCAATTCCTTTTGATTTAATTTCTCATCTCTCTATCCTAAAGATTGTGCTGTCGAGTTCATTGTTATTGTCAACATTTTCTAAAAACCTATTTTCAAAGACATGCTTTTGAAACTTTAGTGCATTGTTTGCCTAAGACTTACCTAAATTAAAGACTAAAAGAAAATGTCGAAGTAGTAAGGTTTAAAAGCACCTTGCCGTTATCACAGAACCTGATATACAATGGTGTGATCCTATCCCCGAAGCTCGTGATTCATCCTGTCAGGGAACTGGCGGATCATATTGTCATGGCAACGGGATGGCTTCTTGGGTTTAAATTTGTTTGTGCTGCAGATCCATAACTTTAAAAGCTTATCTAGTGCTTTTAGAGAACAACTTGTGTTGCTCCGGAGGCGCGGGCTGTATGCTAAAAATTCATGGCTATTTTGCAAATGGTAATTTCAGTGTTCTTTGCTTTTGTTCTTTTTTGTCTACAAAGTGAGCAGTTCTAAGACTAAAATTGTTGTGCCTGAGTGTTTTGTTTGTCACTTTGTTTGGCTTCAGTATAGAACGGCAGAGGTAAAAATTGCTTTCCCCATATTCACTGTATGGAAACTGTGGATTTATGTTTTGGGGGATATAAATATATACTTTCTTTCACCAAGACAGTAAGAATGAAATGCATTGAGTCGCTTTAGTAAGCTAAATATTCAGAACTTAATAAGCCTAAATAATGTTGTTCTGCAAAGAAAAAGACCTTTTAGCACTTTCAGTTCTTTCTGCATGAAAAAGACCCTTCCTTTTGCCTAGACTTTCTCTGTAAACAACGCAGAAAAACAGTGATCAGTGCTCCTTGTTCCTTGCCCAGCGCAATGTCCTTGACACCTCCTATCTCAGCACAGTCCTGACAGCTGGGTTCTCATTTGGAAGCAGAGAAGAGAGCGCCAGGGGAATGGGAACCAGAGAGAGCGGGGAGAGAGGAGAATAAGAAGGGAGGACGAAGAGGGAAAAGGGAAACAGCAAGAGACAAAGGCTTTTGTTGTTGTCTTGCAGTGTTTAACCCCTCAGTCTTAAAGATGACCAGAAATTCTCTTCCAGATTAACATGAACCATATTAACCCATCCAATGGAACCAAAGATATGAGTGAATTAGTTATGTTTTTAAAGAGACCAAGAGATGAAGGATAAAGAGGAATTATGAAATAAAGAAGGCATTTTGATGATGCTAGCCCTGAATTAAGAAGACCGCCCCCCTGGCCCCCAGGAAACTGAAAGAATAATAGAATAGCTAAGGTAGAACTCAGTTCTACTACCCACCCTCTTCTTCTCTGGCCAAGTACTGGTCTCATGGTAAACAAGCTTGGTGACTAAAAACAATGACAAGGGGAAGCCATTTGTCAGACTTTGGAGCTGCCCCTGTGCCTTTATTGTGTGACCATTTGTGCTGTTGGCTTCTGTTTTTCTGCCTCTCTGGCCTGTGAAGAGAACTCCTGGAGAGGAGCTGTGTCTGCAGAGACAGACTGACTGATTAGAGCAGCCTACTGCTGAGAGATTGGAAGGCTGCAGGTCCGGAGGCTAATTACCTCCTCTTGGGCTAGCTTTAGCCCAGGGAACAGCCATCCCTTGCCCGCTTCTGTGCCAAAACTCACATCCTGTGACAAATAGATCAAAACCTTTTGGGAATCTATGAACTTATTTAGACTCCTTGCTTCCACCAACCCCAAGGCTAAGAATATCATCAGATAGCATCTTAGGCCTACAGGAATGCTTCCTCCTTTTTGTTATAAGCCTTTCCTATCTGATGTACATAGCACTATATTTTAAATTTGCCTTGATTTAAGGCTTTTTCCCCTTCTATATAATTATTAAACCATGAAACTGTTTCCACAATGGAACATGGAATTAGGGGTCAGCAACATCTGTTCCTAGGTCATGGCCCCAGAATAAATGTTTTTATACACTTTGTGATGAGAGAAGTATTTTTGTGTTTGTGTCTACACAGGGTATCATAGACACTATGAGAGTTAATCTTCGAGTTTGCTTGCTCAATTGTCTGCTTTTAGCCTTCTCAGAAGCATTGACTTTTGTAGTTGGCATCATTATTCTGTAATTTGATTTTGGAAAACTCAACTTTGTGGGTCTAACTAGAATTAGTGTTTGAAACTGCTTCACGAGTTCTTAGTTTTCTGTACTTGGGATAACAAATGAACCCAGACAGGACGAGCTCCATAGAGGCCTGAGTCTCAGTAGTTTACCCTGGTTCCAAGACCACAAACTGGGACTACCCAGGCACCACTCAGGAACAGACCATCCAGAGGAAATTCCTAACCTTCCAACCATTTTGGATATGATCACCTGCCAGTACACACCCATGGCTTTTTACCAGGACACTCCTAGACAAATGTCAGCCAAACAAGGGTCCTGAACCTCAGAAATCCCTAACCCCCACCTTTGCTACCCAGCTGAGCTCGGGGAGCTCTGATCACTTCAATACCTTGAACACATGGAGAGTCTGAGTTCACAAGCTTGTGTAAGAATAAAGGCTCTTTGTTTTTCCGTTTAGGATTTGTTCTACTAGTTGGTTTTGGGAGGGACTCCAGGATCTGGGTATAACATTGTTTTGTTAAGAGAGCAATAGAAATGCAACTGTATGTTGGGTCAGTCAAAAATTAGTCCTCCTTGTCCATGAAAAGAAAACGAAGCTAGCCATTTATTCTCTAGGAATGACACAGTCTGCCTGTAAGCTAGGGGACAGTAAAGAAAGCACCTGAAGGGTTATTCTGTGATTAGTTGGAAGGTTTTGATTGCATCTAAAAAGAGAGAGCATCCAGAGGCATGCAGAAGAGTTCAGAACACAGAGAAAAGAAAGCAAGGTGGACACAGCCAGTGATGGGGAAGCAAGGCATGGAAAAATCATGTGGACTATAAAAACATGGGTGACTGAGAGGAGGGAAACCCTTGAACTGCAGCAGACAGGGAGTTTAGGATAGAGGAGTGGGTGAGAATGGTCCAGATTCTAGCTTTGTGGACTCTGAGTTGTATAAGAAGTACGTGTAGCTATGGACAGGAGGAGTCTGGAGGCTAGCATTGACCTTGGTATGTACCAGACATGTACAGCCACAAGGAGCCAGAGGGAAAGGCAGAGGGAAAGGGAGATAAGGAAGTAACTCTCCCTAGGAGACAGAAACCTCTATCTCTGGTTCCTGGAAAATAATGAAATTGTTCTCCAGCAATCCTAGAGTCCAACACATGCTGAGTCAAGACTGTCATTTAGGACCAAATCACGGGGCCTGCCCATTTGGAGGAGAATGTGGTTGGTACCTTTTTGACTTGACAGTGCCTACTGCAGAAAGGCAAAGGTGTTTTAGTGTCGCTTCTCTCCAGATGCTCCAGCAAACCAGTTTCTCAGGTTCTGGGAGCTGACTTAAATGCGTTTTCCTTCAGTTCATTCAAGCATGAAAGCATTTGTGAGTATTAGAATCTTTTACTCTTTCCCCAGTGGTCTGAGAAAGGGAATATTTTCTTTAACTAATTTATCCTTAGAAAAATCTTTAATGGCAATAGAAATTTTATGTCTATGTTTCCATTGGTTTTAAAGATCATGCTACTGAGAATACACATTATAATATCATTCAGTGAGCCAGGATTATATTGAGGATGAGCTAGTGTTGCGGGGAGCCCCCTAGAGATGACCACTTAGCAACAGTTTATAGCCAATTGAAAGCCTTTATTCCGGTGGGACTACGTTAAGGTATTTGGGGACACAAGTGAAATCGTGAGTGTTTAGACCAAGGGGCTTTTAAAAGTACAAAAATCATCTTGTTATCTCGCTCAGCAGCTACCGAGGAAGGTTTACATAAGCAAGCAGTTTAACAGTGGCTAAGATAAGCAACTAACTGGAGGGGAGAGGCTCTCACAAGCAGGAAATTTGACAAAAGCTAAGTAAGCTTGGGCATCTTGACCTTGGCTTCCTAGAGTAGAGTTGGGTAGGTTTTCAGAGATTCTCCAGCAAAGAGATCAAATTCTAGTTACAATCTGAAAGGACCCCAGGAAGAATATAAGATGGAGGAACCTCTGCATTGCCTTGCCCTGTCACACTAGAGAAAAGATGACATCCTGGTAGAGTACGGCTGAGCTCCTCTCTTACCTTTGCTCTTGGGTCCCCGTGTTTATTCAGCAGTAAGACAAGCTCATCTCATCTGAATGAGGGAAGATCACAATCTGAAATGAGATGTTTCACTGAATCAGAGATAGTCTTGGGAGAAGCAAGTCATGACTAAGAAAGTTGAATTGCAGACCTTCAAGTGGCATTTATATCTGTTTGTCTAATGAAGGCAAGCATAAGGAGCGGCTTAGCAATCTGAGCTAATACTTGTTTTGCACTATATGCATAAACTTCTTATAGTAATTCACCTAGCAACCCGTTGGTGACCTAGGGTACCATCGATCCCTCACGTTTGCATCAAAACATTAGGCTACTTGTGAACCTGAAGATAAATCAATGACTCTACTTAGTATCCTCTTAATGACAGCACATTTTTATTAAATATGTGTAGGCCCATATTTCTACATGGTATGGCAGCCAGGCTCTCGAGCCATAGTTAGCACCTGAGGAGGTCTCTTAGCCTTCCAGTGTTGCTACCCTAACAGGGTCAGAATATTGTTTTGCTCCTTCTTTGTAATTTGGAGGATGCATGGGATCAAGATGCTAATTCAGCTTACCTTATAGAGCAGGCATAGGAAGATGTGGACTTGACTAAAGGTATTCACCTGGTTACCTAGGAAACAGAATGTTAATGAACTTCCCCCTCAGTTTACCTATTGGTATAAAGGCTGTTTGGAATTTTCAGGATGTGAACTCGGGATTTCATAAGGGATCACTGAGAATCTCCCTCCTGATAAAGCCATTTATTCTGGCATCTCAACGCTGGTCCAGAGAGAGGGTTTATGTTGGGGCTAGCACCAGACCCGGACAAATATGTCCCAGAGAAATCCCTGAAATGGGGAAGATGGAGTGATCTGGGCTAAAATAGTTTTGGATGCCTGTGCATCAGGACAGACTGAGACTTCTCGGTGAGGTTTTAGAAGTGGAGGGGAAGCTCTTTTCACCGCCATATAGGAGTGCATAATTGGGCATTCATATGACCCAAATCAAAGTCATACACAAAGGCTTAAATAATCCAAGCCTGTCAATCAAAGTCAAGAACCACTCCCGTCACACCTTTTAACATCTGAACTCCTCTTTCTCTTGAATCTCATAATAGGATGCCCCAAATGATAACTGGGGCCCTTGGGTATGCACCACTCAGGTGACCAGCTCTCAAGAGTAACACCATTTTTCGGAAATGTACTGTTGCTTTATTTTTAAATGAAGTTTCTTTACTGATTTACAATTTTCATGGTCCTATATATTGTTCTTCAGTGAAA